ATAAAGAGCACTTTAATAGATTATGTTTGATAGGCTCATATTGTTAGCAAATAATTACTTGTTTTCTTGTATAAGTAGAATTTTGTTTGGTTAAACTTTCATTTGAGGTAAAGCATTTTTTTTTAAATTTGGGAGAGCCATAGCTTACATACATTAATAAGTTATTATTGTATAGAATTATGTAATTTGTAAATAAGCACCATAAGATTAAGTTACGGTTTTGTTTGTCCTTCAGTTCCCTATGATAACTAGATTTCTCCATGATCTACCATTGCCAAACTTTGTAAGTAGCTTGCAATTTGAAGTAAGGAAGGAAACTTGATTTTGGGCCCAAAACGTTAGTAAAGTCATTAGAACTACAAGAAGAGATGTTGTTTATGCACATTAACTTGTATGTCAATACCTTGACCAAACCTAGTAAGTGGCTTGAATTTGAGATCTGTTGACATTCGGGTAAATAAAGGATGCTGGTCAAAATCATAAAAATTTTGAAAACAAAAGTTGAAAAATCATTTTCACACAATATCTGAAATTCTTTATGACTCACATTGACCAGAATATATGCAAGGTTTTCATCTGAGACAATGAAGACAATTTTGGGTCAAAAGTCAGGATCATAGTGAATTAAAGGAGAAAACAATTGAATCAGCAACTTGCATTTACCACAAGGAAGGCATCCATGAATGATTTGAGGATTAAAAGTGCAAAGGTCAGGATCAGGGAGAATTCTTTCCACACCACACCTCCCAAGTCCTATGGTACAAGCCATGACAAAACATTATAGATATCTTGCACCCATGACAAAAAAGCCACTTATTGATATTTGTAGTCATTTGGTTAAAGGTCAAGGTCAAGAAAACTTGACTTTTAAGTCTTTTTACCTTGACAAAATTTTGACTTGAACTTCAGACAAGGAACACATTAATTTTTAAATTAAGGAATATCAGTTAGTATTGCTCAGCACTGTTGCTTAGCAACATATTACAGAAGTTAAATGAGTTTTTCAGCACCAGTGTATAACATATGCAAATAAAAATGGTAAGATCTTTGTTTATTAACCATACAAACTGAGTAAATTTCATTTAATTTATATGAAGTGAGTACATGTTTTGTATTCTGTTACAGATGATGTAATATATTGTGTTCAGTAGAAACCAACCCCCAATAAATACTTTTGTTGTATAATATTAAAAATGGGAACTTGTATCACACTTTGGTGTTTAATTCTCATTTAGGTATTTGAAACCTGTCAAAAAATGTGATAAGGCAAAGTCTTAAATTTAAAAACATAATCTGAAATTAAAAAGTTACAAATATTTAAAGTCACATTATAAAATTGTAAAATATCACATATCAGCCATTTTGAGCTGTGTGGTCATAGATGTTAAGAGCCTGCAGGATGACCTGTTCATCTGTCATCCATCTATTCAGTAGCACAGGTTTGCCATCACTGATTGGATGGTTCCCATGACATTTTGTAATCACATTAAATCCATGTACAGTTAGTTGGGCATAAATTAAAAAGGCTATCAAATATGGTCCCCATAATGGCCATCTAGAAAATCTGAATGCTCATGGCCATATCAACATGGGATTTTCACCAGAAGGCTTCTTAAGATCTCTAGTTTGTTCTGAATTAAAGTCATGCTGATATGGCATCAAATAGGGTTGCCATGGCAAAATGGAAAGTCCTATCAATATGGAGTATTCACCAGAAGAAGACTTGTCAAGTTCATTTGGTCAACCTTAGAAATAGTGCAACTCTGATGGTAAACATCTTGAAAGTTTTGTTATTGCTATCTCTCATGGATGGTTATATTGACATGGGGTTTTCCATCTTATGATGATGTTAAGAGTGTACCAAATTAAAATTGTGCAGATCTGATATTCTCTATGGCTGCTTTGGCAGCCACCATGATAATCTTGTTATCATTTTTTTTCCATGGTGACTCATTAGAAATTTTGTTATCTCTACTTTTTCTGAAGGAATGGTTATTTCAACATTGGATTTTCAACAAAAGACTTAACATGATATCTAGTTAGGTGCTAATCTTATAGCTGGATATGGCCTTCATGGTGGCCATCTTCAACATTTTTTTGTTTGTTGCTCAAGAATATCAGAGATCTTTTTACACTAAGCAGTTAAAAAGGAAAGGTTGCTCTTGGCTTAAATCCTGAAAATTCTTTCAGCCAGTAGAGCATAAGTCTCTTCAAAGGGTCTCTTGGTGTTAGGTTTCAATAACATAGTTGCCTGATTAAATTTCAATAACTGTATGCTCACAAATAATTAGAGTTATTAGAGTTTACTCATTGAGTTATATCTCTGCTTACAACAGGTCCACAAAAAGTTGGGTAATACACATTTAGCCTTGATGAACTTTTCATGGGCAATGGATCTGGATCCAAAGGGTGTTAACAATCAAATTGAAGAGGCCATTGACAAAAGATATGTTGCTGAAGAGGAGGACTCACTGAACCGACTAAGTGGTATGTTTAAATATATATTTTTAAATGGGGGTAGGTGAATTATATGGCAAAGGTGATTTACTGCATACAGGTAATTCCAAATTCAAACTTAACATCTGGCAGGAGAGAGGCATTCCTTTTTACAGCCTACTAGCACAGCACACACTTTGAAAATGTTGCTGTGACAGTCTCCTGAAAGTCTCCTTAAGCTTACATTTTAACAGATTTAAAAGTATGAACATTATAGTAATCAAAGCTAAATCTAATCCAATCATTTATCATTTAAAAAAAAAAAAACAAACAGATGGGCCCCCAGTTGACCAAGTTGCCTAAAGCACACACCTTTACCAATCACTGCTGTCTAAATTAGTCTCAGGCTTGGTTAATATGGGTATGTGAGAAAGCTCTCCGATAGCTTCCTTGTGGTTCAGTAGAACTTACCAAGATTTTACCATATATAACCTATCATATGCTGAAAAACAGTTAAATCCATAACAACAACATCAAAAAAAGAAATAAAGAGTCTTTTGAAGGACATCCAGTTCACATTTTTGTTTGAAACAGACTTTGGCAGCCCTACACAAAGGAAATGGATCTTAGTCCACAAAACTTTGACTGCATAATACGCTCTCCTTTATTATAATGCAATACTGGCTATAGTACAGTACCACAACAGATGCCATGACTAAATTTAAACTATTGTATTTGAATTAGGTTATTGAATGTTTGACAATCTGAATCGAAAGAAAAATTAAAGCTTAATATTGCCTCTTTATTTCATATTCAGAAATCTAATTATTGGACAGAATTAGACTGTACCACTTTACAGTTTTTCAGTACATATGTGGTTCTCACCATCACTTTTATGTACATAATGTGTTCATTTGTTGTGGACCCAACTACTACATTATAGTGAATAAGAGTTGTGCTTCTTGGCAAGAGTTTGCCATATCATGGACAATACAAATCCAAACATTTACAGGAAATCATCACTGGCATTAAGTAAAATGAAATAGTGATTTTATGACAAATTATCCAAATCATATCACATACAGACATTAAGTATAAATTGAAAAAGGTTTCAGTAAATTAGAAGATGTATATGTGGTTTGTTTACCTGTGGCACATGACCAGTTCCAAAAGACACTATGCCCTGTATCAAAAGGGGATTATTCTATAACTTCAGAACCAATATTGTGGGTCATGTCCAAACAGACTACTACTGTGTCGATACAGTTAGTGTGGAAATCATTAGTGCATGAAACAAAATATAATTTTAACAACATTTCAAGATTCTCACATGAAAATTCAATGATAAAGTGACCATCTTGAAAATCATCTCACTCATTCTGATTGCTGCCACTATATACAATAGCCAATAAAATAATGCTGAAATTTGACCCTAAAGCTGGAGAAAATTGTCTTAACCTTGTTTACTAGATGGTTTCCTTATGATAGTATTTTAAAAAGGCCTCTCTTCCCCTCAAAAGAAATAGCAGTGTTGTATCAGCTAGCTTTTAATGTTTGTATTTCTTTTAAATATGCTATATAAATCAGTCATTTGTTTTCAGATTTTCTCCTTGTTTTCTTTAACAGGTACAGATGATGCATTAGAAGAGGTAGCCGATGTTGAAGATGTCCAGTTACAAGCCATTGAGAGTGATGAGAGCTTGTGACACAACGCTCTTTTATAGACTGTGTACAATAGGGACATAGTGATAATATTACTAGTCTTGGTGCATCTAGCAATTTGATGATAAGCAAACTATAATCAAGTGGGTGAGATTTTTGCAGAGAGTATTTTGGATGTGAAATTTATATTATGGCTCTCCAATAATAATTTATCTTTTATATTATGAAACTACATGTACTGATGTAAGAAACTTTGTTCAACAGTATAGTTATCAGTTCAACCTCCAATACCAGTCACTTTACATTTACAACCAGCTCATTTGTCCAGTCACTGTCAGATTTAACTACTGTCTTTGATCTTATTTGTTTGACCTCCCTTTACCAGCTGCCTCCAGTAGGAAGTAGAAATGTTTGATTCCATTTATGGCTGCTTTAAAGAAAAGGTTACATGTTATTTGTTGCCTGTTTGATTTTTATTGTGGAAGAATCACAATTACCATATGTAAATGCTTAAAAGTTGAGACAAACAGCATAGATCCTGATTTGCAATAGCGTAATACACCTGCAGATGATTGTCTGCATTGTTTGCTCCAGTAATTACTCCTAACAGTGAGAGGAGTTGGGAACAAGTTTTGGATTATCAGTCCTAGGATGTGTGTGTGTGTGTGATTTTGATTTTTAACATAGCTTTAACAATTTTTTAGTCACATTGCTACAATGTCTGCAGTGTGGCAGTTTATATTCATGTCTAGCACTGTGACTTCATGCTACAGACATGTAACATGATGTCCCGCCCAGTCACATTATCCTGATATCAGGCCAACCAGTCCTAACACTAACCTCTTACTGCTGAGCTCTTAGCAAGGCAGTTGTTAGTACCATTTTTTTAAAAAACTTTGGTGTGACCACACAGGGTTTCAAACCCATGACCTTCAGCATGCAAGGCAGAAGCTCTGACCTCTAGGCTACTGAGTGGTCCCTAGGATTAGTCAGAATAATTGTGTTTATTGAAGTTGGTATACAAAAAGGTCCCCAGCACCTTTCCAGGGGTTGAAAATTCCATAAACCTTTGGTCAAGGACCCATGTTGTTGACCTTTGGAATATTTTGGCCACATAAAAACCAGGTAGACTTCATCTTAATTGAATCTTAACAAAAGAATGGAACCATATTGATTGAAAATATAGATATAAATGAGAAATTAAACAATGGGTTTCAGCACAAAAAATATATTTTCATTGTAACCAGCCACTGCACATAATAGCAGACCTGCCAGCCTTATAATTTGACCATAAGTCTTACGAAAGTGACCCTCAAATTAGGACTAAATATTAGAAAATATGATCGTTGCAGTGAGATCTGGATATTGGCTTTTTTTAGTTTGATCCAAATTTGGCTTCATATTAAATTTTGTGGTGATGGTCAGTGAACCAGACTAATTATACAGTGGTACCTGATATCCTTGAATTTACCTGTTTTACATGCAGAACACCTGCAGAATCAAGCTGTTCCTTATAGCATTTTCTCAGAATGTTGTTCAACAAACAGATACATTCTCATAAAAAGCTCAAACAATCAGCAAAGAAGTAGAAAAAGAAATATTTAGATTGTTTGATAAAACCAGAAAAGGCAGTGACTGTTGCTATTGGAAATTATGTTGTGTTTTTTTAAGTATGGTGTGAGAGATGATAATTGTCACCATGTAAAGTTTTATTTAGAAACTTTTTGTCCAATTGAGAGATCTTGCAAAAAACTGTTGAGTTCCATGGGCTTTGGAACTGCAGTTAATGTAACTTTACTGGAGGTAATTGAGGTCAGTGTGTACCTTACAAACATTTGGTCTTCATTTCATTAGTTTTGAATTCTGAAATTTTCAAATGCATCTTTCCCCAAGTCAACAATAGCAGCAGGGGCCCCGAGTGGTCTAAAGTGCTGTCTGTTACAGATCACTGCCATCTCACCTCTGTCTGCGTGAGTGTGAGTTCGAGTCTAGGATTCGGCGAATGTGGATATGTGAGAAAGCCTGCCAGTAGCTTCTCGTGGGTCGGTGGTTCTTTCCGGTGATTTCCCGGGTTTTTTTCCTCCACCATTAATACTGGCCGCCATGAATGGCCTATCATGTGCTGAAAAATGGTGTTAAACCCAACAACAACAGCAATAGCAGCACATGATAATCTGTAATCTGTATTATATGCTTGGAATAACTTAAATGTGGCAACCCTGGTGAAATTGGACCAAGCATAATTTAATTTAAAATTCCAGGACCCAAGGATCACGAAGAAATGTTCTGCTCTCACATTTAGTGGAGTTACATAAGTATTTCAAGTTGTCAGTGAGAACAGCTTCTATTGGGGTACAGATTAGGTTTTATACAAATTCACATGCTGCATTTACACTCCTGTTATAATGTGTTTTATGAGACAGAAGTAAAAAAAAATGTCTAGGCTGCAGTTTAAAACACTAATTTCACCAATGTGATGAGATTCATGACAAGGTCCATGTTATGTCAATGGATGTGTTATTCTGAGATGTTTATAATGAGAGACTACTGTACTGTTTGTACAGCAGGCTGTGTTATTCTGAGATGTTTATAATGAGAGACTACTGTACTGTTTGTACAGCAGGCTGTCTTCTTCAATTAATTGGTTATTTCCATTATCAGCAAGTTTATGATTTGATTCGGGGATCTCTTGGAATATTTTATCAGAATGTCACATGCAACAGATCCCATTGTTGACTTGGATATAATTTCCTCCAAAGCCTATGGCATGCTATTATAATGTTTCTAAGAAAAGATTGTGTTTCTTATATTTAAAGCACTTTATATATATATAACTATAATGGCCGTTAAACTGTAAAAAAAAAATAAATAATAATAATAATAAAATGTTGAGGTATTTAAAGGGACATAACTCAAATTCTGTACCTAAGAGGCAATGATTAGACAGATTGGTTACCTCCTTTGATATAGTTTGCTTCTGTGCTGTACTTGAAATAATATAAAATCATTTCACTAGAAAATGTTCACAAAAGGTAATTGCTTGAATATTATGTCTTTGAAAGTATATATGTGAAGAAATGAATAGCTGATTTAAAAATATACCCAGAAATAAATTTTATTTCTAACTAAATATAAATGCACACTGATAAATCATCATCTAAAGAAATATTTCAGAACTGGTGTAGTCACTGAGTAAGGAGGCTACAGGTGTAAAATTTTTATTTGCAACTCAGGATTACATGATGGATGCACATGAAGATAATGACATTTCTTTTGTGCAAAGAACACTTGGAGTGAATTGGTTGTTTTATTAATATTATAATGTCTTTTTCATGCTTTTATGTCAAAAGCAAATTTTATACTGTACATATTCTTGACGTGCAGAAGTGGCATTCATGCAAAAGTAAATAAATGAACTAAAATTGTAAGTCGATAAGATATGAGAGTGTACAAAATTGCTTTAAGTTATTATAAATTGATTATCCACCATACTTGGCTGCCCAAACTCCCTGCATTGCTTTTCATAATGAAAGTTCTATATTTGAATATTTTACTCTGTGCCATACTTTTCTCACCATTACATGCATTTTTAAAGGAGATGCTTTATCACATTTGTTTGAATGAGTAACTTATAATCCAAAGATCATAGTAGATCTGCCACTAATTCTAGTTTAATCAGGATCATTCTAAAGTTTTGTTTGAAATTTTAAAAATTTGTATTTATTGACTTTTATGCCCAAAGTCCCAGTTTAATAAAACAAAAGACATTGATTCATGATGGCTGTACCTCTATCAAAGAGAGCAAATTATGTGAGAAATACACTACAGTCATACCATGAAAATCTTATAATTTTTTTCTTTTTGTCTATTATGCTGTTATTTAATGTCTTGATTAAAATAACATTAAATATTAGCTTCAAAGATGAACATGGAAAAACAATGTATTTTCAAGGTATGAATGTAGCATTATGTTTCTCATAACTAAATAGGACAGTGGAGATGTAATTTCCTTTGTAAAGTTTTTGTAAATACATGGTTGCAAAACACTCGATCTTCTTTTTCTCCAAATCCTGATTGTTTTCTTTGGCATCCTAATTTTTATTCCACTCAAGGTGACAGGTCTAGTCACAAGCTTGATATCCACATCAAGCCAACCCAGTCAGCTGCCTCACTGTATTCTTGGGACAGGCATCCATTTCCTCTGCCAAATAACAGCCATTATTGTGTTCAGAGTGTCATTTAATACCAACCCACCAACCAACATCCATGTGTTATTTAGGTGGAGCATAAGGGTGGGGGGGTTTTTTGTTTGTTTTGTTTTTAAAAATATTTCTTTCTATGTCTTGGCACATTCAGCTTTTATCATCAGCATTTTTTGAAACTTTTGATAAGCTAAATGTGAAAAGCACTCATGGGCATCATATTTATCTGTGTATACTGAATTCCTACTGTGAACAGTAGTAATAATAAATAAAATGAATAGTGAAGACTGAGATTTTCCTTTGCAATATACAATAGAACAATGGTTTCAAACTACTGAGGGCCACATTTTTGATGGTCCAGCTTTATCTCTCATGACCCCAAACATTTTGCGGGCCACTGGATACCACATTGTGGGCCTCGTGTTTGAGATCCCCTGCAAAAGAATATCTTAGTCTATGCTGTTTGCATTATGGAGTGGGGAGAAGAAAAGAGAATAGTATTTAGTGGATGGCAGACATAAGTCTTTTAAGACTGAGAATAAGTGAGACAGCTTGACTTGGTTGCCTGTGTTTGTTCATTGTCCTGAACACCCAAAAAATGAATTAGGTTTGTTTTATTTTGTCTGTTCCTTTAAACTCAGCTACAGTATTGCATTTGTCCAGTTGAGGTAAATTGTTAACTGGAGGAACAAATTTATCTTTATTATAATGATATAGTTTTATTGCAGATGTCCAGTTTGTTAAAGACAGTAAAGTCCCTTCTGTTGAAATATTTATCCCGGGATGTTTTTGACATCTTTATATCTTATAAATATAATTCCCTTTATAAAAAGTTCCCAAAGATTGGAGAGATATTCTATATTTACCATTGTGCAACCCATTATTAGGAGAATAGACCCATGTCAACCTGAATAAAATTAGCTGCCAGATCAGGGGCCATCCATATGAATGTTATCCTGAATGTAAACAAATCAGAAGGAGCTATTTGTTCATTTGATGAGGCATTTGACTTGCCATTGACTCCTTTAGTATTTTTAGCATTATATATACCATCATTAAATTGCACATATTTTGCTTTCAAGATGTGTATCACTTTATAGCATAGCAAAGTCATTCTCCAAATATTATATGCTTTATTTTATTAAACTTAAATTACTAAGTAAACCAAATGTTTTTACCTATCTGAAACAGAATTATAAACTATGACAAAGTGTTGGATACTGCTTGCTTAAAATATAAGTAAAATGTATCATGTACAGCCTGATCTAGAGATGCATATTTGACTGCTAAATAAGGATCTGTGATTTTCAAAATATGGGATCTGTGATTTACAAAGATATAGTGTTTCATCATTTGCAGACCTTTGTCATTAGGTCTAAGAAGGTCCAGGCAGGCAGTTAGCCTTGTCATTGTATTCTTTAGTTTTATGAAAAAATGCTATGTATCTTGAAGAAAAAAAAAATTGATAGGTTTGTGCTTGACAGAAGCACCTGTCTGAGGGAAGCATATAATTATTTGAATAACAAGTACCTCATGATAATTTGTATAGCTTTTGTTTGTTTTATTACCTTAGAACTGTCATTTATAAACAATCTACCTAAAGACATGTTTATGAACATTCAGTGTATTTAAATGTGGATTGTATGTTTTAAACATAATTTTGTTCATGAAAATTTATAAATGATATCAACTTAAAAGAGGTAGACCATGTGTTAAATCTGCTTTAATCAATGAATGTCCCAATTTGAAGGGTGCTGATATATCAATCCCTTTTTC